AGCCCAGCTCTGACTCCGCTGCTCCCCTTCGCAGGTGAGATGGAGAAGCACGTGCGGCTCTTGGCGGAGCTGCTGCCCGACTGGGTGGGCATTCACGCACTCAGGACCGACACCTACGTCAAGCTGGACAAAGAGAAGGACCTGGGCCTGGTCACCGAGAGGCTCAACAAGGCAGCCAAGGAGGCCGGAGCGCTCTGAGCTCCTCAGGGATTGAGTTATTTTCTCCTCTAAGTGCAAAATGTCTCCTCTAAATGTAGCAAATCCTGAGGGCTCCCCAGGTTCTGGGGTGGGCTGGTGGGARGCTCATCCTCAGGGGTGGTTGAGGGAGGGCAAAGTGCCTTTATTTAACTAATTCCATGGGATTGTAGGTCCCCTAGAGCAATCCTRTGGCCTGGGGTGCTGATGGAAGCGACCCTACCCTGAGGAACCTCTTCCTCTTCTTTCTGTGTTCTCCTGAAGTTTCAGTGCATGAGTGGTCTCCTCAAGGTTCCATTTTGGAGGTTTCTTCCATTAACTGGGTCCTGGTGGGTGAAGGCTGGACAGAGCAGGCTGAGAGGGTGACAGGCGGGAAGGAATGAGAGAAAAAGTCACAAATTGGTGTTTTTGGAGCTCTGGGCCTCGTTCTGTTTTTAAGAGAGGGAAAAACGCATCCTCCAGTCCTCGCTGGAAACAACTACAGGACTTGTCAAAACATATTTGTATTAAATGTTTTAAATATAGTTGACTTGTGTTAACCCAGTGCTCTTCCTCGCTGCCTGTCTCGTGGTTCTCCATGGCAATTGGCGCCGGGAAGGGCTGGGTCCCCGTCCAGCTCCTGCAGAAAGACTCACTGGAAAAAGTGAGCGTGGGTTTGCAGGGAGCTGAATGTGGCTTTTGTGAAGGGGGTTGGGGGAGCTGCTCCTGCAGGGACAGGGGCAGGCAGGGTTGATGGGGGTCTGGGGGGGCTTTTCCCAGGCCATGGGGCTGGAATAGTTTGGGAAGAGGGGCAAAGGGGGCGAGGGTGGATGTGGAGGGGCTGGACTGGGCAGGGTGGGCACAGGGGAGGAGGGGTGGGAGCTGCCCAGGGCACAGCACATGTGGGGTCACTCACACCTCGGGTCACTCACACCTCACACTGCTCCCCGAGCCCGACGGCGCTGCCTGGAGCTGGGCACACTGAGGGAAAGGTGGCTCCCTCACCCCTTCATCCCATGCTGGGAATGGGCAGATTCCCCACCTGAAGTGCTGGGCTCGAGTCTGGCAGGATCAGAGATCCCACAGCACTTCCTGAGGGAACAAAAGGCCTTCCTCCACCTCCTCCTCCTCCTCCTTCTCCTCCTCCTCCTCCAGGCCCGTGCTTGCCCTGTGCAGCCCCAGCTGGCTGGCACTGCTGGCAGCAGCGTTCCCAGTTTCCACGGAGGAGAAGGGATCAAACCCAGCCCAGGGGCTGGAGGGATGAGCAGGGCTGGCTGTGGGGTTGGGGGCTCTTGGGGCAGGCTGGATTCCCAGCCACGCTCAGGAACCTTGCCATGGTGGGCAGGAGCAGGATTTGAGGAGCAGGGCTGGGAAAGAGCTGGATTCGAGGAGCAGGGCTGGGAAGGAGCAGGATTTGAGGAGCAGGGCTGGGAAAGAGCTGGATTCGAGGAGCAGGGCTGGGAAGGAGCAGGATTTGAGGAGCAGGGCTGGGAAGGAGCTGGATTCCAGGAGCAGGGCTGGGAAGGAGCAGGATTTGAGGAGCAGGGCTGGGAAGGAGCTGGATTCCAGGAGCAGGGCTGGGAAGGAGCAGGGTTCCAGGAGCAGGGCTGGGAAAGAGCTGGAATCGAGGAGCAGGGCTGGGAAGGAGCTGGAATCGAGGAGCAGGGCTGGGAAGGAGCTGGATTCCAGGAGCAGGGCTGGGAAGAAGCAGGATTCGAGGTGCAGGGCTGGAAAGGAGCTGCAATCAGCAGCTCAGCCGCCTCGCTCCCATCCCAGGAGAGCTCTCAGTGAGCTCCCGTTCTGCTCCTCACGACAAAACCCTTCTCCCACCTGGAAGCCGCCCCTGCACAACCTCCTCTCTCCAAGCAAATGACATCAGGGACTGCTGGCAGCCCAGCCAGGGCCAGGCACCGTCCCCACGTTCCCTGATGTCACCTGCTGGCACTGGCGGGGCTGACGCCGCTTCCCCGGCACGCAGCTGCTCTCCTGGCTCTTTGGGGTGGAATGGCTTTTTCCTTTGTCCCCCTTAGCTGTACCCGGTCCCCTGGCTGCCATGGGGCTGGCTGTGGGACAGGAGCCCTGGGGCAGGCTGATCCCCAAGGAATGGTGCTCCTTAGCAGCACTGAAGAGGCTTTTCAGGAAATGGCGATAAAACCAGCTGGAATAATCCCTACAAGTAAAAGGGCTGGGTGGGAGGTGGTCCCAGGTGCTGGGTGGGGAGGTGCTGAGCTGGGGGGGTTGGTGTACCCAGCTCCAGCCAGAGGCTGGGCCAAGGTACAGAGAAAAGGTACCCGAACGCTCCCTGGGAAACAATTCCAAGAGTTTGGGGGAAAAGGGAGAGCTCACACCACAGCCTGGCTCCACTGACCACCTGGGGCTGCAGGGAGACACGTCCATGGGTCAGTAACAGTTCCAGCAACTGCAAGAACAGCTCTGAGACAGTTTAGAAAACATAAAAATCAATGAGTATTTATTTTACCCGTGAGTCCAGACCCTGCTGGGCCAGGGACACAGTCCCTGATGTTCTTAGGCTCGTGAAGTTTTGGCACACAGGGATTCAGCTGTGACCAAACTGAACCGTGCTGGAGGAACAACTCCAAACCCATCACCCATCCCACACCTGAGACTCCTGGAGCACCTTTCCTGTGGCCTCACCTGACACCAAACTCCCACCAAGAGCAGGCTCTGAACTGGCAGCAGCCTTTCAGATGGCCCCAACCACCATGGCAGAGGGAAAGCAGCAGCACAGCTGTGGGGTGTGGGGCAGGAGATGGGGAATTTCTGCTGAACTGAAGGTGCCTGTGGTCTCCAGGAAAGGAAAACAGTGGCTGAGCCCACCCACACCAGCACCATCCTGATGTAAGGACACAGCACACACTTCATCCTCCTCAGCAAGTACAACCCCGATGTGAGAGCAGCTTCCTCTGCTAAGGGACAGCACACAGCAACCACACCATCCCCCGAGGTCAAATACAGCATGATTCATCCCTTAAAGAATTGCTTTTTGCCCATTTCCTGTGTTTCTTTGGGAATTTTTAAGCAGGTTCCTTGGAGGCTGACAGGCCCAGCTCAGGGAATGCTGGCACCCTGTCAGAGCTCTCCTGCCTCAGCAGCAATTTTGTCACTTTGGTCTCCTAAAAACTTCCGATTGAGTGAAGCTGCATCTTGGTCTCCATCCTCTTGAACAATCAGGCTATTCCTCCTTCCCAAAAGGATGAACTCCAAAAGGGATCACTACACTCAACACAGTCTTGGCAAATGTAGGATTTAGGACCGAAGATCCTAAAGATCCCGAAGAGCACCTGGCCATGCTCAAAACGGTGTGTTTCACCCCCCTCCCACCCTTTATTCACTGAATAAAGCCCCAGATTTGCTCCCAGCGCTCCCTGCTCCTCCTCAGTCATACTGCAGCAGTGAGTAGAACGGGATGGAATTGAGCTTTCCCGACCCTTTCAGGCCTTTCAGCTCTATGACCACCAGGCACTCCAGGATTTCAGCCTTCAGCCTCTTCAGCAGCTCACAGGCTGCAGCCATGGTACCTGTGCAGGGGAGCAGAAACATCCTCACTCTGGGGGCAGCGTCCAGCCCCACAGCTTCCCTTGCTGCTGATAAACAGACACCAGAGAGGTGTGGATACCCCTGGAAGAGCCCAAGGTCAGGCTGGACAGGGCTGGGAGCACCCTGGGATGGTGGGAGCTGTGAATGGGGCTGATGTGATTTATCCAATCCCACCCACGATTCCATGAACCCAGCTGTGCATGGGTCACACGTGCTTCCCTCACCTCCAGTTGCCAGCAGGTCATCCACAATGACCACCTTCTGCCCCGGCTCCACAGCGTCCTTCTGCATTTCCAGCTCGGCCTGCAGGGAGCAAAGAGCAGCTTTCTTTTAGTCTGGCCTCGGAGAGAAACCCCTCAGGAGCTGCTGGCTCATGCTGGAACACGGGCAAGTCCTCAGCGACATCAGCCTGAACACTCAGCACCTAAAACCCCAAAAACCCCACAAATTCCAGCTACGGGGGAGCGCCACAGAAACAGAGCAGGGAGGGGACTGCTGGGCCAACCCTCTGGCACGCCAGGATCCTGAACTTCCACCATGTGAGTTCTGGTGGAATCTTATCCCAGAGCAGCTCTCCAGTGAGGGAATTGTCACGCACTGGGGAGCTCTGCCCAGAGCCAGATCCATACTGGCACCTGATGTGTCACGCAAGCTCGTCCCATGCTGGGGTTGGCCCAAACAATCCCCACGGCTTAGGCCTGGCTTTGGGGGTCCTGCTGCTGTTAGTCATGAGCGGGAGTGGCAGAGTTTGAGGCTCAGGCCACGGGGTTACAGGGCAGGAGGTGGGGAAGCCATGCAGGGAGGCTGTGACTTACAGCACTTACTGCCAGAGTGGGGAACACTCTCCGTGGTCATGCCCCTGAATTCAAGCCAAAGAAAGCCATTTAGCACCAAATCTGAGCACGAGCCCCTCAAAAAAACACAGCACAGCACCGACCAGCACCCACGGGCACAAATGGAGTGTCCATGGCTCGGGGCCGGAGCCGCCTCAGTGCCATTCCCAACGGCTGTGCTGTGCCAGGTTATCCACGGCATCAGAACCCGGTTTGGGACCCCCTCCCCGCTGGTTTTAGCAGCCCTGCCCCCCCAGCCCTGGCCCCTGCTCCGCCCAGGTGTCACCTTGCCATATTCCAGGGTGTAGCAGACGGACTCGGTGGGACCGGGCAGTTTCCCCTTTTTCCGTACAGGCACGAAGCCGATGCCCAACCTCTGTGCCAGAGGGGGCCCGATGAGGAACCCACGGGAGTCCAGGCCTGGGGGGCAGAGCAGCCATCAGGGATCATCCAGGCTGGAAAAGGCTCCAAGAGCATCCAACCCAACCATTCCCAGCACGGYCMAGGCCACCACTGAGCCATGTMCCCAGGTGCCACATCCACACATTTTCTGGAATGGTGACTCCACCACTGCTCTGGGCAGACTGTTCCCATATCTGACCACCCTCTCAGTGAATTGATTTTCCTCACATCCAACCTATCTCTCCCTGGTGCAACTTGAGGCCTTTTCCTCTCATCCCATCACTCAGATTAGAGCCATTTCACTGGAAGAGGGTCTTGGCATGACCCCCCCCCATTTTATCCTTCCATTCAGGGGAGGGGTCTAAAAGCAATTTGCTCTTAAACTCACTTCTGAGGGCTGAAAGCACAGCCCAGACTCCTGTTTGCACCCAGCCAGGCCCCAGCAGCCCATTTCCCTCCCCCGAGGCCCTTTTCCTTAGAGATAAACCCCACAGAGCCCCGGTATCAGCTCAACCACACAAGTGGGACCTTGGACCTCTGGGCACAGACTTCACTTATCACAGGACTGCTGGCCCAGGTTTGGTCAGTGCTCCTTGAACCCTGGGCTGAAGCCCAGCCCAAGCACTGCCTTGCTCAGCCCAGTGCCAGGTGAGCTCCTCCAGGGCTCTTTGTGCTGAGGAAAAGGAACTGGGACAGGGTCAGTCTGCCCCAGGGACCCGACAGGACCTCGCAGGCACAGCAGGGTGTGCTTGGTGTGCTCCTTCTCTTTAACAGTGAATTATTTAATTGGCACTGAGCACAGAAGGCACCTGCCACATCCCAAACCAGAATTTCAGGAAATCACAGCAGGAGGTGAAGGGTAATAAACCATGCTGGAGTTACCACATGACAGAGGCCAATATTCAGGTGATTTCTGTGTCCAAGGGCTACAGCATTTCAGAAGGGTCACCCCGCACTTCCCACCCGGGATGCACTGCTCTGCCCCAGCCTCAGGGATGTCCAACCAGCACTCACCCGCAATGAAGTCGATTTTGGGGAAAGATGACCTCAAATGATCCTCCAGAAGATCAATCAAAGTCCTGAAGGCCACAGGATCCTTCAGCAAGGGGCTGATATCGCTGCAATGAGAGCAGGGAGTGAAACCTCCGGGGGCTGCTCTGGAAACGCTGAGCTCCTGAGCCCAGGGCAGGCTCCTGCCTGGTGCTGCCAGGGCCAGGGATGGGCACTGGGGAGAGGAGCTGCCAGCGAGCCCCGGACCTGAACAGCCCCGGTTTTATTCCTGGTCCTGGCTCCAATCTCGATCCTGGTTCCCTCCCCGACCCCATTCCCGGCCCCGGTCCCGGTCCCATCCCTATCGCTATCCCCGTTCCCATTCCCATCCTCATCCCCGGTTCCGTTTCCGGCCCCATCCCAGTCCTCGTCCCGGTCCCATTCCCGGTCTATTCCTGTCCCCGTCCCCATCCCCGGTTCCATTCTCATCCCCGTCCCCATCCCCGGTTCCATTCTCATCCCCGTCCCCATCCCCATCCTGTTCCCGTCCCCGTCCTATCCCCGGTCTGGCCCCGTCCCCGTCCCATCGCGGTCCCGGTCCCATCCCCATCCCGGTCCCCGTTCCCGTCCCCATCCCGGCCGTACCGGAACAGCACGCCGGGCTCCGGGAAGTCCGGGAAGGGCCGGACGCGGTCGCGGACCCTGCGCAGCTTCTCGTCGCTCATGGCGGCCCCGCCGTGCGCAGCCGCCGCAGCTCCGGCACGGCCGAGCGGGCGGAGCGGGGCGGGGGAAGCGGCTCCGCCTGCTCCGGGGCGGCCCCGCCAAGCGGCGGGCACGGGAGAGCGCCGGGAGTAAATCCTGGGCACCCCGGTGCGTGGAGCTCCGGTATCCTGGAGCATCTGTGCCCCCGGTGCGTGGAGCTCCGGTATCCTGGAGCATCAGCGCCCTCGGTGCGTGGAGCTCCGGTATCCTGGAGCATCAGCGTGGAGCTCCGGTATCCTGGAGCATCAGTGCTCCGGGTGCGTGGAGCTCCGGTATCCTGGAGCATCAGCGTGGAGCTCCGGTATCCTGGAGCATCACTGTTCCCGGTGCGTGGAGCTCCGGTATCCCGGGGCGTGGAGCCCCAGTTCCCCCGGTATTTAGGGCTCCAATATCCTGGAGCGTGGAGCATCAGCCCACGGGCACACGGGGCTGTGGTATCCCCATGCACAGAATCCCGACTTACCAGTGCAGCCATGGAGTACGTGGAGATATCCCAGAACTTCAACCCCCTCAGGGTACCCCAGGACATTAGGCATCGGTACCCCCGGGATGTGGAGCTCTGACTCCCTGGGGCTTGGAGCTCTGATGCCCCATGCATGGAGCCCAGGTTCCCTCGTGCATGGAGCTCTGATTTCCCGGTGCATGGAGCTGCAATCCCCAGGCACTGCTTGGATGGAAACCCAGGTTCTGCTCTGCAGAGCTCGATTTCCCCGGGGCACAAAGCCCCGGGATCCTCCCTGGCCCCGGCCCCAGAAAGGAACCCCAAGCCTGAAGGTTCCACTTCCACCCCCTCCCCTGCCCAGCCTTCCACAGACTGCAAGCTCCTCGGGGCTTTACTATTTCCTGCTTTTCCACCCCTCATCACCTCATGTGAACTCCTGGAATCACTCTGTGCTTGTTAAAAGTGTTGGTTGGGATGACTGACACCCAAGAGGGACAAAAACACAGCCCTGGGTCCTGCACCAAGAGCTCCCGGTGTCACCTGGGCAGGACAGGGAGCTCCTACAGCTCCCATTTCCCCATGTGAGTGTCATCTGGCCATGCAAAATCCACTGAGTTCAGATCTCCTCTTCCATTAGCAAATAAACCTTGGGCCTGCTCCAAGCTCATCTGGCCACGGCTCGCTGCAGAAAGCAGCAGCACTTGGAGCCTGTGACACCCCTGGCTGAGCTCAGCGTTTGCTGTTGGGAGCTGTGAGGGGGAAAACTTCACCCCACACCCTCTGGAGAGCCCCAGGGACACCTCCCACTGTCCCAGGGTGCTCCCAGCMCCATCCAGCCTGGYCTTGGGCACTKCCAGGGATCCAGGGGCAGCCGCAGCTGCTCTSTGCCAGGGCCTCYCCACTCCTRCAAGGAAAGATTTCTTCCCAYYATCCCATCTAAACCCCTGGGGAAGCCATTTCCCTTATCCTGGCCCTTGTCCCCAGCTCCTTTAGGCACTGGAAGGGGCWCTAAGCTCCCCCTGGAGCCGTCTCTTCCCCAGGCTGAACAATCCCAACTCCCGTTAAGTTCTCTGCTGCCAGACACAGCCCGTGCTCCCTTCACAGCCATTCCCTCACAAACTAAGATTTTCCCTGAACTCAGATAATCTCTTTGGCACCAGAAGAATCTTCTCGAGCAGCTGTTCCAGGGCAGCAAGCTCAGAGGAAGGACGCAGCCTTACAGTGGAACCAGCAGCGCTCTCACTCCCTGCCACGAGCTGGACTGGTTTCTCCAGTGACCTTACAACCACTGGACAATGAGCTGTTCCAGCAACTCCTCTTCTTCCTGGCAGATGGAATTGCTGGTGGAATTTATCTGCCTACTCGTGGAAATAAATAAGCAGGAGCTTATTTCCTGGGAAAAGGGCTCTTTTCAGCCTGCCAGGCAGGCAGGGAGGAGCTGGAATGGGGTCTGTGTCACCCCTGTCTTGTTTGTGATCCCCCACAGTCCCACCCTTTCCAGCAGGAGACTCCACCACATTTTCCTGGAGGCTGAGGGAGGTTCCCAAGCCCCTCACCCCAACCAAGCCCTGACAAACCAGCAGCTCTCACCAGGATGAGCTGCTGAGTGCTCCCACTGCTCCATCCCACAGCCAGGGGATCAATCTGTCCCCATCAGTTCTGCCAGGAAGGGCACAAAGGTCACACCAAATTGGGCTTCCATTGATGCAGCTGCCAGAAATCACAGTTAAATGACAACATTGCTGAGATTTCTGTCAGAACCCTGGATTTACCCCATCTCAAAGGATACCAGCACAGACCGGATTGGAACAGCCCAAGGAAATCAGTTTTCCCTGCGATTGTTCAACCTTTCAAACACCGCTGACTCCTGCTGCAATTTCCATCTGCAGAGAACTTTCCTAGGCCCCCTTTCCAAATGTGATGTCAAAGGGCTCTGGAATATCAGCCGGGAGGTGACTCCACATCCGCTTGTGGCTCGGGAGCTTCAGGGCTGATCTGTGCCTGGAATCACCACCTGGAATCTGGATCCCCCTGGAGATTCTGGCTTTGCCTCTCTTCTGGACACAGAGATCATCAGTGATTTAAAAATGCTTTGAGATCCCAGCCAGGGAACACAGAAACTGGGAATATGAAAGCTTGGGAACTCACTCTAATCAGCTTAATTAAAGAGCTGCGCTGAGCCGGGAAGTTTCTGTTCCGTTCAGGATTTTAACACTTCAGTGTGAAGTGGAACAAAATGCCCCAAATTTCAACATCAGGGAAAACAAGCACAAAAATTTCCCTGCAAATCCACTGGAATGTTTCGTTTCAATTTCAGCTGAGGAAACACATGCCCTTTAAACCCTTAAAAAAAAAATCCCCAAACCAACCAAATTTGAAATATCTTATTTCAACACCAGAAGAATGCAGCTCCCCAGCCAGATCCCTGGGCTCGGGGTAGAAGCCTCAGAGCTGGTTTTGTGCCCCTAAAAGAGGGAAAAGCATCGTGATCCAGCTCTGGATCTAATTGGAGCCCAAGCCAGCACCTCGTGCCCGCTGCAGCAGGTTGGATCAGGCCCTTGGAGAAGGCACAAAACGCCTCTCCCTCCTCTGGCCAGCCTGCATTTTGTGTCTGATCCAGAACTAATGGATTTGGCACGCATTCCTCGCTGCTGGCTTTTATCTGCTCTCCCTTTCAGCTGGGAATTGTGCTACCAAGCTCCTGTCACCCAGAGGGTGTTAAGTGACTCCAAGAGGGACAAAGGCCCGCAGAGCTGCCAGATTGCCTCTCTCCAGAAGCTGGAAGGCAGAGCAGAGGCTTTTTCTCCTTCCTAAAAGACTGCAAGCTTCTGGCTACGGATCCACCTTTATTTAGGATTTATATAATCCCAACTAGACTTCGAGCAACAACAAAACTTTAAACGGTGGAAGGGGATACAAAGAAAACAGGCTTGGTGTTTAAAATAACCATTTTCCAGAGGAAGAAAGAACCTAAAATGGGATTTCAGTTCTTCCCTTACAGCTGTTCTTAAAACCTGACAGTTTAATTCAAGGGGCACCACAATGTTGCTTTCTGATAACATAGAAAAACATCCAGTGCTACCCGAAAACAAAAGGAGAAGTTGATTTCCAAGTATTCTAACAGCTAAGAAAGGGAAAACAGGCCATTTTCACTGCAGAACAGTCACTCTGAAGCTGAACAAGCAAAGTAACTCTTCAGAGAATAAAAATGTGTTTAGTTTGAAAAGTTTCCCAGTGCTGAGGACAAGGGCAGGATCCCTGGGGAGGGATTTCTCAGCTGGCTGTGCTCCAGAAGCTGCTGGCGACTCTGCAGCCAAAAAAAAAACCCTTCCAGCACCCCAAACCTTCCTCCCCCACAAACTCCGTTCAGGTCTCACCTTCTGAAGGTCTTTCTTCAGCTGCTGCAATTCTCACACGGGGTTATTTCAAAGCTCTCATCACTGGGGAAAACAAGAGTGTCCAACCTTCAGGAGATCCTTTATGTGAAATCAGGAATTTTGGGACGCTGTCCATGTGTGGGGAAGGCTGGAGCTGACACGTATGGGAAGTGCTGTCCCAAATCCAACAACCTCCTTCTTGGAGTTACCAGTTCCACTTCTTTTAGTCAAAACCCACTGTCACTGCCCAAAAAATCAGCCCTCAGTTTTCACCAGCAAATCCATGAGTCTTGCTCACTTCCCTTGTCCAAATTTTCCCTTTTTCCCCTTAACCCCACATTCCCAAGCTTCCCCTGGGCCAGGCAGAGCCGTGTCATCCCTCATCACTGCACTCAAAGCAGTTTGCAGGGCATTAACCCCAGCTCTGAGTGTTCAGAATTGATCTGCTGCTTCCCAGTTCCAGTGCTCAGCTCCCCAAATTGTCCATCCCCAGGGACCAATTTGCCACCGAAATAATCCATTTGTCGCCGCAGGATTTGAAACCAAGGCTCCACTTTTGCAGCCAGAGCCTGGAAATGCAGCCGGAGTTTTTTTTTTTCCACGATTATTTGTTCCATCCATTTCGGAAGCTTCTCTTAGCAGAGGGTGGGAGGATAACAGAGCCTCAGGGGCAGAGAAGGGAGGCTTGAGAGGCTCAGCTAATTGCAAATTAAAGGCAAGAAAGAAATTCCTCGGACTCTTAGCCTGGCAAGATATTAAGCTTTTAGCGTTCAGCATAATAAATATAAAGAAAGGAACATCAGAGCCCTAAACTCTGGCATTCCTTCGGCATTTCTGTCTCTCTGCTGGAGGAGAGAAGCCACCACCAGACCAGTTTGGCTGCTGCAGGTCCCTGAGTGGGCAGGAAATCCCTCCAGCCCCGCTCCTGCCCCAGTTTCCAAACTGTTCCCAAACTGGGAAGGTTCAGGACAGCACTCAGGATGGTTTTTAAGGGCAGATGAGGTCACTTTGTGCCCTAAATGGGTTCGGGGGGGGGGGCTGCAGGCACCATCCCCACCCTGCTCCCCCCAGCCTCTGCACTGCTCTGTGTGGGCCAGGACATTGATCCATGGTAAAAATAATTCCGGGAAAACAAACCAAGTTATTTTTAACCCAAGTCAGTCCCATGATCCAGGAGGCCAATCTGGGAGTGTCCCACAGCAAGGTGGTGCTCCCTTGGCTCACAGGT